GCAATCCTTTAAAAACACAATTACCATTCAATGCATATTTGTCACTGCCTTTAGATTATCTGCTTTTCAGTTCAGTTTTTATCAGCTTTTCATTAAAGAAGTAGAGCCTTTATTTTTTAAAAAATAAAAAAACCTTAATAAAACTTATAATGATTGCTTATGTATTGTTATTTATACCATCCTTATATCCATCTCATTTTATATCATCTGGTTTCGACATAATGCAAAACTACTGTTTATATAATAATTAATAATAATAATAATAATAATAATAATAATAATAATAATAATAATAATAATAGTAGTAGTAGTAAAGTTGGAAGGGACCTTGGAGGTCATCTAGTCCAACTCCCTGCTCTGGCAGGAAACCCTACACCATTTCGGACAAATGGCTGTCCAGTCTCTTCTTAAAAACTTCCAGTTTTGGAGCATTTACTGCTTCTGGAGGCAAGCTGTTCCACTGATTAATTGTTCTCACTGTCAGGAAGTTTCTCCTTAGTTCTAGGTTGCTTCTCTCCTTGATTAGTTTCCACCCGTTGCTTCTTGTCCTGCTTTCAGGTGCTTTGGAAAATAGCTTAATTTCCTCTTCTTTATGGCAGCCCCGGAGATATTGGAATACTGCTATCATGTCCCCCCTTGTCCTTCTCTTCGTTAAACTAGACATACCCAATTCTCGCAACCGTTCCTTATATGTTTTAGCCTCCAGTCCCCTAATCATCGTTGTTGCTCTTCTCTGTACTCTTTCTAGAGTCTCAACATCTTTTTTACATCGTGGTGACCAAAACTGGATGCAGTATTCCAAGTGTGGCCTTACCAAGGCATTGAAGAGTGGTATTAATACTTCACGTGATCTTGATTCTATCCTCTGTTAATGCAGCCTAGCACTGTGTTGGCCTTTTTGGCAGCTGCAGCACACTGCTGGCTCATATTTAGGTGATTGTCTACTAGGACTCCGAGGTCCCTCTCACAGTTACTACTATTGAGCATGGTGCCACTTATGCTGTACTTGTGCATTTGGTTTTTCTTGCCTAAATGTAGGACCTTGCTTTTTTCACCATTGAATTTCATTTTGTTAGTTAGTGCCCAGTGTTCAAGTCTGTCCAGATCCTTCTGTATCTGAAGCCTGTCTTCTTGAGTGTTGGCTATTCCTGCCAGCTTGGTGTCGTCTGCAAATTTGATGAGTTCCCCATCTATCCCTTCCTCCAAATCGTTGATGAAGATGTTGAAGAGTACTGGGCCCAGAACAGAGCCCTGGGGCACCCCACTACACACTTCCCTCCATATAGATGCAGTTCCATTGAGGACCACTCGCTGAGTCCGGCCGGTCAGCCAGCTACGGATCCATCTGGTGGTGGTTCTGTCTACCCCACCTTTTTCTATCTTGTCAAGTAGTAGGTTGTGATCTACTTTATCAAATGCCTTACTGAAGTCCAAGTAAATTATGTCCACAGCATTCCTCTGATCCACTATTTTTGTCACTTGGTCAAAGAATGCAATAAGATTTGTCTGGCATGATCTATTTTTGACAAACCCATGTTGGCTTTTAGTAATGACTTTGTTTGCCTCTAGGTGTTCGTTGATTCGTTGTTTGATTATCTTTTCCAGGATCTTCCCAGGTATTGAGGTCAGGCTGATAGGTCTGTAATTTCCTGGATCCATTTTTTTTCCTTTTTTGAGGATGGGAACTACATCATCTCTTTTCCAGTCCTCTGGTAGTTCCCCTGTGTTCCAGGATCTTTGAAAAATATAGTTCAGTGGCTCCAATATCACATCTGCCAGTTCCTTGAGAACTCTGGGGTGTAATCCATCTGGTCCTGGCGATTTGAACTCATCTAGGCTGGACAGGTGCTTCCCAACCATTTTCTTGCCTATCTTAACTTGTGTTTCTGTTTTGTTTATTATGGCACTATTTTTGATAGGTTGGTCTGTTTTTTCCCTTTGTGTAAAGACAGATGCAAAAAATGAGTTAAATAGTTCTACTTTCTCCCTGTTGCTTGTCACCTTCTTGCCACTTCCACCCACTAATGGAACAATCATTTCCTTCACTTTTTTCTTGTTTTTTACATGTTGAAAGAAGCTTTTTTGTTATTTTTGACTTTGTCCACAAGCCTTAGTTCATTTTGAGCCTTAGCTTTCCTCACTTCATCTTTTCAGGCTCGGGCTATTTGTTGATATTCTGACTTAGTTATGTCCCTCTTTCCACTTTCTATACTTGTCCTTTTTATCTTTCAATTTATCAGAGAGTTCTTTATGCAGCCATGCTGGTTTCTTTTGAGAGCTGTTGTTTTCCTCTTTGTTGGTATTGTGCTGGATTGGGCTTTTATTATCTAACTTTTCAAAATTTCCCAAGCTTCTTGAGTTGTTTTCCCCTTGAGGATTCTCATCCATGGAATCCTTTCCAAGCCCTCTCTAAGTTTATTGAAATTAGCTCTCTTGAAGTCCAAGACTCTAGTTTGACTGTGTTCTATTGCTTGTGCTTCTATAATGTTGAATTCTAATATTGCATGATCACTTCTTCCCAGGGTTCCTATGGCTTCAACACCTTCTATCATTTCATCTCTGTTAGTGAGAATTAGATCCAAAATGGCTAATCCCCTAGTTCCCTTCTCTACTTTTTGGGAGACAAAGTTGTCTGCTAGGTTTGCCAGGAACCTGTTTGATCTTCCACTTGGTGCAGAGTTTGTCTCCCAGTTGATGTCAGGGTAGTTAAAGTCCCCCATTACTATTGTGATGTGCTTCCTACATACCTTAGTTAGCTGACTAGCAAAAAGTTCATCTATTTCCTCTGTTTGGTTGGGTGGTCTGTAGTATACACCTATGGCAATGTCATTTCCCCCCCCCCTTTTATATTGACCCAAATGCATTCAAGACAGTTTTTATCATTGTTGTACTCTATTTCTGTGGAGATGTAGTTATTTCTTATATAGAGAGCAACTCCACCTCCTCTTTTATTTGGTCTGTTTCTTTTAAATAATTTAAATCCCTCTAGCTGTGTGTTCCATGTGTGAGTTTCATCCCACCATGTTTCCGTAATGGCAACAATATCGTATCTGCCCTCATTAACCTGAATTTCTAGTTCACCCTGTTTGCTGTTCATACTCTGTGCATTGGTGTATAAACATTTGAGTCCTTTGTGGGTGGCCCTGTGTTTCCTTTCTACATAACCTGTGTGGTGCCTGAGTTCCCCTATTGTCTTACCACCTATTTGGTTAGTGCACTTTATGTGGCACTCGCTATTAGAGGCTTCATTTTGATTGGTAGCAAGGTTGGTATTCTTGTCCACACACACATCTATGCTACATGCACTGATAGCCCTATAGTTTTTAAATTGCCGGGGACAGGGTTGTTCCGTATCAATTAACTCCCTGTCCCCGCTGTTTAGTTTAAATTTCCCTCCAGAAAATCTGTGAATTTATAGCCGAGTAACTCAGTCCCTTTTTTTGATGGATGCAAACCATCTCTTTTGTACATCTTTTGATTGGACCAGCTACTGACATCGTGACTAATATATCCAAAGCCTTCCCCTTTACACCACTCCTTTAGCCACATATTGAATTGTGCTATGCGCTGGCCTTTTCCGTTTTGCTCCTTATACACTGGTAAAACCTCTGAGAAAGTAAGCCTACAGCCTATTCTGCTAAGTTCCTTCCCCAAGCTCTGGAAATCATTCTGCACAGAGAGTACATCTTTTTGGGACAGATCATTAGTGCCAAGATGTACAATAGCCTCCACATCACAGTCCTTGCTGCCATTCTTGATTATTTTAGAAATACGCTTCTTGTCCCTACTGGCAGTAGCACCTGGAAGACACCTGACCTCTTTCAAAGCCTCTGTGTCCTTTCCTAAATTTACATCCCTTATAATTGAATCACCTACCAGAAGGTAGCTTCTCTTTTTGGGAGCCTTTCTATTCTTGCATGACTGATGTGCAATACCTGATTCACACTTCTCCCTGTCAAAATCTAGTTCTTCATCTCGGACCACAATCCCCTGTTTATTTGAGTTATCTTCACAAATACCTTTACCTGTCTCCTTAATGTCCCTATTAAGGTCATTTAGTATGACATACACAGACATTCTCTCTTTAAAGAGAGCGAGACATCTAAAGAGATCAGACATTTTTAACCTCTTGTTTTATAATTATATCTAAGTCCAAAACTAATGTTAATTTTTATAATAATAGATAAGGGACTAAGTCAGGATCAGCAGCTGCAATTGTTAATTGGTTTTCTCTGCCATAGCTATGTACCTCACTTTGCTATACTTTGAATGTAATAATAAACTATGCTTAAATTGAAAACATTTGAAAGTTTCTAATCTTTTTGAGGCTGCAATAAAAGATAGAAAAGAGGGAAGAAAAAAAGTTTAAAAAGCCCATCATTTAGTATTGTGTCTTTGTGAGATTTGCACTTACAATAAAACATTTTCTCAATATTCAAAGCAGTGCATATATTGTACGTCACACCTGTTTATAAGGTGAATCTAATCTGTGTCTCCTTCATTATGAAATAATCATCTAAAATGTATTTTTCCACAATAGTCAATAGGAAAAGTGTTCTTTAAGTTTTTGGGAAGTGGTGATAGATGGGAGAAAATTATAAAACAATTTTCTTGTCTAGCTATATCTGGAATATTGCTGCTGTCAGATTAGATTAATAAATTGTCTGGAATAGGATTGAACTAAAGGTCAATTTACAAAAGTCTGACATACAGAAAATGAGCCAAACACAAATTCAACACTTGAGTAAAATTACATGGTTTAATTTACTTCCCGAGTTGGTCTCAAGGAAAAGAATTGGGACTCACCTACTACTATATTTACATTACAAGATATTTCAAAAGTGACTTGCTGATTTTTTTAAGGTTCCTAGTCAATGAGATCTGCATATGTTAGAAGTTTACTTAAAGTAGCCTAAAAACAATTCCATCTCTAAGACCATAAATTGCTAAGATGCTGAAATGTGTAAAATGTTTTTACTTATTTCATTTTTGTTTTTTAGGTATAACTTTATCATGCTGGCTTTGTCCTTTGCATTTTTGTGCATGTCCTATTTCTTGACCTCTTGGCTAGGGAGCATAGGATTTATCCTTGCCAACTGCTTCAGCATGGGGATCCGAATTTTACACAGCATCCACTACATCTATAGGTACTTTGGATGCAGCCCTCACAGACCTTTGAAGGGCCTTCTTATTTCACGATTCCTGGTTGTTGTTTTTCTCATCAGTGGAATGAGCACTAAGGTTTCAGAGGTAGGTGATATTTTTTTTCTTCCACTTTGTTTCATTTGGACAAAGCAGTTGACTAAACTAGCGCTTCATTCTACCGTTTGGAGAGTCACTTTGTGAAGTGCCCCTTTAATCCACCGTGTCAAAATACCTGCATCCTCTGAATTTGTCAACTTAAAGACCCTTTTCTAGAGAGAAAAGTACCTTCTCTGGATGCCCACACATGCTCAGGAGACCCAGATGGTGTCTTGAACAACTTTCAACAGAGGAGCAGTCACTTTAATGGTCTATGGAGACCTTAGAAGTCTAAGTCAATCCTATATACATAGATAATACTTGCAAATAAATCTGAATGAATGTGGTGTCCATTTCCATGTAGTGTATCTACATTTACCTATGAATGGTACATGGTTCATGGTTTTTAGTCCATAAAAGATTCAGAAATAATGCCAATAGGAGATCAATTACCTTTATTCTTAAAATGATTTAAAGTTTTGAACAAAGCTGCAGTTTTTCTAGCACCTTCTATTCTGCTAGAGTTCTGAATGCCTTTGGATCTGACGTTACTTTTAAGTGATATCTGAACTATCTAGGGCAGGGCAAATTTGCAAGCTAATGATTAAGAAACAGGTTATAGTCTGCAGGTGATATTATCTTTCTTTTACCTTTGAATCAAAACATTAACTTGGTGGTAAGTTAGGTTTGCTTTCTTTGTCATAGTAATTTCAGTTTCTTTTCTTTGTAGGTGTTTCTGTGCTGTGATAAAGGGTGGATGGCCAGATTAATTCATGTCACAGTTGGAGCACTTTGCCTCACAGCAACTCTCGCTACAATATTTTTCACAGAGACAAACCTAATCCATTTTGTTAGAATGCATATTTTATCAAGATATTCCAAAGAACAATTAAAATAATGTCAAGTATGTATTTATCGTAGGGATTTGTATTTAAATGGACAATTGTTATGCACGGTAAAGATGTAATGTTTCTGATGATTATCTGACTGAAATATTGAAAGAGACATACAGGGAATCCTTGCTTAATGACTGGTCGCTTAGCAACCTTTCAAAGTTACAATGGACCTCCTCAGAATTAATTAAAATATGATTTGAAGTTTAGCTGACTGTACTCTCCTCTGGGTTCATAGGATTGCAGCCAGTCTGGACTAGGAGACGGAGTGGAGAGAGTCAGGTCCTACTCCTCTCTTAGGCCTGGAAGCCAGCTGAGTGACTTTGAGCCAGTCATTTTCTCTCTCTCAAAAAGTCAAAAAAGTCTACCCACACCAGATCAGTGGAGTAAAATATGGTCCATAACCTTCAATAAAGAGGATTTCATTCTGCAAGGACTGATGAATTGATTTGAGCCGATTTTAAAAACATGGGGGGAATATACTTTTATTTGTCTGATGAAAACTGTTTCGTTAGTGGGAAACGATAACTAGATATTATTCAGGAGTTAAAATAGTAATTTAACTGTACTGCTAAAGTAAGCATAAATCCAAGCATATGGGATTTTTTTTTTAAAAAAAAATCATAATTGACTTTCATAGGAATTTTACTTCATTTTTATACAAAACTTAAATGTTACAAATGCAAATGTTAATATATTTTATAAATATTTGAAATGCTTATAGCAATTCTATTTTTTTAAAAAATAATTCATATGAAACCATGTTAAAACAATGTTTAAGGCAGGGGTGTCAAAACTCGCAATGTCACATGACGTGTTGTGACGTATTGTGACTTTTTTTCCATTGCCAGCAATAAGGTGGGCATGGTTTTGACATGACGTATCCGGCCCGTGGGCCAGCAGTTTGACACTCCTGGTTTAAGAGGAATAAGGAAAATTATTTGGAAAATTAGAACAAAAGCCATAATAAAGTGTTAAAAAATATGGAAAGACTGACACACTGTTATCTATAACTAGTGTGGAAAGTATTAGTCATATTACAATTAATGTTATGATTGTCTTGCATCTGTAAATAGAGCACAAATGTAAATGTTTCTATAAAATATGCAGCTAATATGTTTCCTTCAATTTCAGATATTACATTTCAATAGCAAAGCTCAGGTAAACCGTGCTTTGTTAAAGTCAATAGCAATTATGTATAATTAAATCACTTGGTATAAATATCGTTAATCTTTATCATGTTCAAACTCCAAGAAGCCTTGGAAGATGCATTCGATTTGTTTTTTTTTTTTTTGAGTAACAAGTGAGTGGCATTTTCAGAAGCAATGGGAATAGCTGATCTTCCCATGCTATATTCCTGCTCAGAGCTATAAATACTCTACAATTTCTCACACGAGCTACTGTGCTATTCCACAGCAACCTTAGCTTGTAGTTGTAACTTTAAGGGGTGCAAGGACTTCTAGGCTCAGAAGGACATAGTAAACATAGTTTCCTCTCTGCCTATCTTTGCTGGTAATACAGGAGTACTGGATCAGGAGCCAAGTTTTTTATTTGCTATTTATAAATTTAATTCCAGTGTTTTGAGTTCGTAACTGTTACATTAAAATGATGAGCTTTTGATGAACTGAAGGCCTTTTCATTCCTGAAAAATGTTTCCATGTTCCTGTGAAAGATTGGCATGCACAGGATGTATTCAGTCAAAGGTTGGTAGAAATATTGGCTTCTGTTTCCTACTATAGAATATATTGCTGCTGCTGCTGCCTGCTAAATTTATGACTGTCCTTTAAACAGCCTTCCCAAAGTTGGGTCTCTCCAAATCTGTTTGATTTTAATGTCCATCATTCTCAAGAATCTGTCTACATGATACATTTAAGGGTGCATGGGACTGAGATTGAGTTTCCAAGGATCAAAACAAAGTATTACAGATTAGTTCTCTTTTTTTAATTTGATAAAATAATCTGTGTTTGGAATTGAAATATTTTAGTAACTCTGTATTAAAAAACATAAATCCTGCAAGCCAACACTCTAGTGAGTTACCTTCTTTTGGCAGGGTAGGAATTTTAAAGAATTACTTTTACAATTATGCTTTGTGGTCTGATCTAAGCAAGGCATTTAATATTATTAAAAATGAGATTCCAAATTTAAATTGTTGTTGTTATTAAAGTGTCAGTGGGACATAAGCACAGACTAACATGGATTAGTCACAAATATTCAAATGGTAAGAAGGCTGTAGATTGGTTATATGCGCTCTTGAAATTGGGGAAACAAGTAAAAGATAAAGGCTTACATAACCAGCAAGCATTTTTGAATCTATTGTCAATTAAATGAAATAGCAGTCTTTTATGTATGCACAAATCTATCTATCTATCTGTCTGTCTGTCTGTCTAATAGGTTTTATATTTTTTTTATAAAATAGGTTTTAGTAATACTAAAAGATGAAGAGAAATATGTTTTGTGAAATTCAGAAAGGAGGCAGTTGCTGATACTAAATTGCATCCTCTCTTACCGTTCATTTACTTAATGGTAATTAGTTCTAATATTTCATTTTAGTTTTCAAATAAAAAGCCATGAAATATCAGGGGAATGCAGCAATAACGAACCAAATTGATCCATTAATGAAATACTATTTTAATAGTATATTAAGAAGCTTGCTTTAAAACCAGTAACAATGAAGGAAATTGGTTCAAATGATGCCTATTTTTTTATAAGTAGTTCTCTTTCTACATGGCTAATTCATGAAGATGTTTACATTTATTAACTTTTGCCCTTGGCAAATGTAGCTCTTGAGATGATCTGCAAACAAATCATTTGGCAATGCTTGCACGGCTGAATGAATGCTAAGGATAGAATTTCTAGTGCTTCCCCTCTTAAAAATTCATATAGCCATGCACTTTTCAAAAGTTAATTTGGTTTTGAAATGAAGCAAATGGTTGTCGGGCTCACTTGCATATATTGCTACTAAAGAGATTACTAGTGCAATTAGGAGGATCTTTTTCTTGGCTGTTGTGATCAGTTCTGCCCACTCAAGGTTGATGCAGTAAAACCTTTATACCTGAAGCCCATAGTTGCCAGGGGCTTTGCTAATGGCAGCAAAGAATTTGGCAGACTTGCTCCTCCTTGCTTGTGGATTTTGATAAATCAAGAAGTCACTGCCATGGGTAAGTAAAATCTGGTCCACATGTCCATATATCTCTCTTCCAGTTTACCTTGACTACCAAGGTCATGATAGGTCTATAAAACACAATGGCTTATGGGTTCAATACCCAGTGTAGAGGTTTGAACAGCAGAAAATCTTCCTTTCTCCATCAGGATGGATGTAGACTCCACTGATTGGGTAATTTAATCCCACCTGCTCAGACTAAGACAAAAAAACTCTGCCACGCCTCCTTCTGGGTGTGACTTCCCAGTTTTTGTCTTAGTCTCGTGCTCAGCAAGACGCTTTTCAGAAGGCTCCTAGCTAAGTTTGATTCTTTCCTTTTTTCTTTTAGGCTATTCAAATTAAAATTGGATACTTTAAATTCAAATTGATTAACAATTAGATTAATTCGGCTTCACTTCCAAATTAAGAGGATTGCGTTGGGGGGGATAGGGACTCTGTCCTCCCTCCCCTGCAGCCCTTTGGGCTTTGAAAAGGAGGCTGCAGGCTTCATTCGTTAGGGAGCTCCCGTTCCGACGATCTGTAGCCTCTTTGCGATTCCGCCAATTCAGCTGGATAGCGGAGGTCGGCTTTTCAACTCGGAGACCTCCTGAGTGATTTACTTGCCTCGAGGCCTTGAGGGAGAATTCCTGACTGCAGTTTTATCTGGATCGCAGCAGGGGCTGCGCTACTAATCGCAAGTGCTTGGGGACTGGGGGAGGAATCCCAAATCAGCCTTGTATTCCCCTGCTGTGTAATTGATTCTCCTGTTTAAAATACGACAGGGTTTTGCTTCTCCAGGCCTTAAGGCCTGGCGGCCGCCATTTTGACCGCATGGTCTAGCGCGGCTGCTTCTAGAGGTCCCACGTGGCGGACGCCATTTTGGAGGCCTAATTGAAATTTTTGCATAATCATTGGCAGTTATTCCTGCATTATTGCAGACGCATAGTTGTTGCCTGTGTCACTTGGTCTGTGAGCAGACCTGTTCAGGGGGGAAGATATTTTTGTATCCACAGGAGTTGTGGTCAAACTTGAGGGGGCTACTTCAGGTGTGGGCCTTGGCTGCATTTGAGCAGACCAAGGTGTTATTAACTGGTCCTAAGGCCTAGAAGAGAAGAGCGAAGAGATTCCTTTATTGTCCACCTGTTTCTCAGTTTAGCCCGTGACCTTTTGTCACAAGGCCTGTACAGGCAGCATTAGAACACTGTCTGGCTGTTCTTGCCATTGCCTTCTGTTCAGAGCGAGGATCGGTTTTCCATCTCTGACTGTGATCTGCGTGTTGGGTTCCTCCCCCCATTTCTAGGTACTACTGTCCAGGAATACCTAGACAGCAATGGCAGACAGCTCCTCGCCCCAGGCTTCTCAATCTAGTGTCCCCCCCGCTCAAGCAAAGCGCAGATCTGAAGAATTGGACATGGGGGGGAAGAAAAAAGCTAAAACCAAACATCTGTCTTCCAAAGATACTTCCAAATCAGCCGGGCGAGAGGCCACAAGGAGACACTTAGCATTGGAGAGAGAATTCTCCAAGGCACAAAGGCTCAGATCCAGTGGGACTGAAACGGTTTCCCCCGCCCCACTGGATACTCCTTTGACAGAACCTCAATTTGAATCATCTCAGGATGCCCCAAGACCTTGGTCTCCTCGGGGGGAAACCGAGCAGGTAGGTCCTCCTCGCTCCTCTCCTTCATCAGCACACCAACCACCTGAGACCAGGTGTGCCTCAACGGAGGTTGGGGTCAGTTCCAGGGACCAAGGGGAAATGTGGTCCCAGGCTCAATTCCAGGCCTTCATGCACCAAGCATTCAGGCAGTTTATGTCATCAACTGAGAGTAGCCAGGTGCAGTCCCATCCTACTCCTCCCGCATCTATTCCCCCACCTCTGGTGGAGCGTGATACTAGACCTAGCTCTGCTGTTTCGGAGACATCCTCACAATTAGGGGAGGAGGGATCAGTGGAACTGGGAGTTGCAGACACTCCCTTGTCTGAGGAGGAGGATCCAGCTCCTGAACAGGTGACCTCTTCCGGGCTTTTCGATCCGGCCATTTTTCGGTCACTCCTCGTAAGGGCTATTGACACGGTAAAACTTACCTCAGCCCAGGAGGAGACTCCTTCTTCCTCATCCAACCGGGAAGCCAACCCTCTGTTTGCGGAAAAGGTCAAGGAGGAACCGCAGATTCCATGCCCACTAGTCTTCAGGTCTACGGTGGAAAAGCAGTGGGCATCCCTTGCTACCACTCCTTCACAGAGCAGTTTAGACAAGAAACTTTACAATGTCTCTTCTTCTTTCGCTTCTCTTCTAGAAGTCCCATCTGTAGACGCTCCGCTGACCTCTCTGTTCTCCAATACCGCCGTCCCGGGGGACATGGCTGAATTCTTGAAGGCAGAGGACAAAAAGTTCGAGTTCTCTTTTCGTAGAGCTCACCAATCTTCGGCTTGGGCCATAAGGGCGGCAACCTCATCCTCCTTCTTTGCACGCTCGGCAATTATGTGGTTGCAGGAACTCCAGACGCTCATTCCGCCGGATCAGGTCAGAGCGCACCAAACAATAGGGAAAATAGTGGCAGCATCCGAATACATTGCGGATGCATCCTTACACTCGGCTAGATGTTCAGCCAGATCCATTGCAGCCTCAGTGGCATCACGTAGGCTGCTCTGGTTGAAGCAATGGCGCACGGATTTAAAGGCAAAGTGGCGCTTAGCAACATCTAGGTACAGTGGCACCCACCTTTTTGGTCCGGTCCTAGAGCCTCATATCATTGAGGGCAAGGACAAGCGCAAGGCGCTGGCCCATCCCTCTAAAAAACCAGATAGACGGCTCCAACAGGACTTCCGTAGGCCATTCCGTCCCAGCGGTTCCTGGGATTGGAGACAGCCCTTTCGGGCAGGGCAGTCCTGGGATTGGCCCAGAGGCTCGCGATCCTATTCTTTCAGACAGGATCGGCAACAGGACCGCCAGAGTAGTGCAGCCAGGGGTCAGTTCCAGACCAAGCGTCCCTTCAGGGGATCAGGCAGTCGTCCTTACAGGCGGTCCAAGTGACGCCAAGGAGGACTACCCCATTGGGGGTCGACTGGCACTGTTTTACGACGTTTGGGAAAACACAACCACAGACGCCTGGGTCAGAGAGACCATAAGACAGGGTCTCTCCCTAGAGTTTCGATCTTCTCCCCCAGATCGTTTTATACAGTGCCCGGTTTCAAACAATACATCAAAAACACAACTAATCACAACAGCCATCGCTCATTTATTAGAGATCAGAGCCATAGAAAGGGTTCCTCAGGAACAGATCGGGGAAGGGTTCTACTCCATCCTGTTTGTAGTTCCCAAAGCCTCAGGCGGTTGGAGGGCGATACTGGACCTAAAGGGTCTAAATTACTTCCTCATTTACAGGAGGTTCAAGATGCAGACCCTAAAGTCCATCTTGGCAAGTATCAGGAAGGGGGATTTCCTTTCCTCCATCGACCTGACAGAGGCTTACTTACACATTCCG